GGCTGGCGACTGCTTGACCGCACGATGAAAATTCACCGTGCTGTCGACCGCCCGAATCAGTTGCAACTGCTCGAGCGGTTCGTGTATGTGCGTCCATAGAACTCTGCAATTCACTGTGCAGTCGCAGCTTGAAGCTGTCGACCTGCGACCATAACTGCTTCAAGCGGTCCGTGTATTGCCGGCCTATGGATCAATAAATAATTGAGCGTTGTAATCAACGCTACCGATCAATCTGGAGATCATTGGGGGAAGCTGTAGAGTTTATTTCAGCCTGTGATTGTAATAATTTTATTGATGATGATGAAACAAACATATTTTTCATATGACAATTTTAAACGTTAGCAACACTGCCTATTTAATTATTTCCACAAAAAGTACATTGTAAATGTGTCTGAATAATAAAAGTAGTGCAAACTCCTGCATTTCTGTCTGCTCCAAAATAAGTCCACATCAGCGCCTACACATACAACATTGTGCTGCATGGTCCTTCGAGCCGGATAAATTTGTTGCTATTGTAAACATCCTACTAAACAAAGGTGTAGTTTTATGAGGACGGATGGGTGTTTATTCTTTGACGGAAAACTACTGAAAGGGTTTTATGAAACATCACACACCTGTCTAGCTGTGTCGATCTCCTTCTCAGTCTCGGTGGAGGTGATGAGGGCTTCCTTGACCTCAAGCGACGTGCGCTGTGACGTTTGTAATGTCACAAACAGCTCCTCGTTGTCCAGCAGCGGTACTTGCGACTCGTACATAATGCGGAGTAGGTCGTTTTCCAAGTCCATCTGTAGGGAACACCAGGTTTAATGATGAGCTCATAAACAATCAAACGCGAAGCTCAAGACCGAACGCGATGGAGGATTGTTGTGGACGCCATTAAGTCAAGTAGGAAGTCAAGTCATAAACGCCAAGTTACTTGAGGTTTATACAGGGTGTCCCGTAATGTAACGTCAAGCCGGAACTGGGTGTTGAGGCAAGTTGTGCTGGTTATCAGAAAAATATAAAAAAAAATCTATGTGGCATATTTTAAAAATAATAGGCATTTAAAAAAAATCAAAAAATTTTACTCCAGGTGACGGTCCTTTTGCTCGTGTTGCCACAAATCTTCACTTTTTCCAAATTTTTTTTTTGTTATGTAACCCTGAATAATACTTCTCTAAATTGTTATCAAAATTACAAAACCAGCTGCTCCAGCTTGGATGAAAAAAATAAATTATTCCCAAAAAAAATTTCAAAATAAAAATTTTGCCTAGTTTAAACTGACTGTACTGAAAAAAAAATGTACTACGCGAGTGTGGCAAGTGACGTCATAATTTGGCGCATTTAGTAAGGATTCCAAAATGGTATAACACTTGGTAAATTTTTGCTGTAATTTTCGTCAATTTTTGGTTTTTTGGAAATAGTCCCGTTTTTAACTTTATCTACCTTGGTTAAAAATTATTATTCTAATGTGCCCAAAATTCAAGTTTCTGTGACTGACTACCGTACAGTCAGTCACAGAAACTTTTGTCACTATGTCAGTAATTAGTAGTTGACATACTGTTACAAAAGTCACCCGTGCGCGCGCGCCTTTACTACCTGCTCTGCCTGCACTTGTACTTGGTAACAGGTATAATAAGGATATGAAGCTTCGGTTATGGATACGGTTACGGATATTAGAATAATATTATACCGGTTTCGGTTACGGTCACGGATATGAAATCATTTCAGATTATCCGAAAGTCTCGGATAATTTCGGTTACGGAATTATTAGAATTTCAAAAATGTAGGTATAATACGAATAGCAAGATGCTGCGTGAGCGTGACCCACATGGCTACTTTATGTACCAANTGCCACACTCGCGTAGTACATTTTTTTTTTCAGTACAGTCAGTTTAAACTAGGCAAAATTTTTATTTTGAAAATTTTTTTGGGAATAATGTATTTTTTACATCCAAGCTGGAGCAGCTGGTTTTGTAATTTTGATAACAATTTAGAGAAGCATTATTCAGGGTTACATAACAAAAAAAAAATTGGAAAAAGTGAAGATTTGTGGCAACACGAGTAAAAGGACCGTCACCTGGAGTAGAATTTTTTGATTTTTTTTAAATGCCTATTATTTTTAAAATATGCCACATAGATTTTTTTTTATATTTTTCTGACAACCAGCACAACTTGCCTCAACACCCAGTTCCGGCTTGACGTTACATTACGGGACACCCTGTATATACGTAAAGTCAGTTGGGGTATCTGCTTTTTTATGCAGAACAAGATGTTAAGTGAGATGCTGTCTAGGACGGTACATCACTCACAGGCAAGTCCTTGTTCACTCTCGCCTTGAAAGGGCCGGATTATAGTGTTCCTTTATGAGCATTTTCAGCAATGGGAGCTTGTTTACGGGCGAGCCACTAAAAATAACTGAGTCTCATTGAAAGACGGTGACAAGCAGATTATTACCTATACCATCAGTGTTCTGTGGATTCTATTTTGAACTGCCTTGGTGAGAAGACTTAGAACTGCCAGATTGGCAAAATAAGTTTAAGTTGTGCGAATTCATCTAATATACGTTGACAATCTACATACCAAAGTCTTCTTATTATTAGCGATGGTCATCACAAGGTTGTCTTTCATCAATTCCAGTTGGGGCCGCTCCTTGCGCACGACTATGCCGAGCAGTTGTGACGTCAGGCCCTGCTCCTTTACCGCAAAGTTCACCATCGTCGTCTTGGTTAGCGTCTCAGGCGTGTATACTGGATTGCCTGAGAACAAAAAGGGTGGCTTCTTACAAAGTAAATAATTTAGAAGAAAGTCCTTTTCATAGGGCTATACGGGCTTGATTTCTTTGGTCTTCTGTCCTGGTCGCGTTTTCGCAAATGCGAACTAGCGCCCTTAGTGTCACGCGGACTGTCAGTGCGGATCGCTTCGCACAGCCGATCTGTATGAACTGCTAGAGAGCGAGCGGTTCCTCCGGACCGCATTACTCTAAAACGCTCCCTAGAAGTTCATACAGATTGGCTGTGCGGAGCGGGTCCGCTCCGGACGGTTCGCGTGACACTAAAACCAGCCTTACATAACCAAAATGACAAGTACCATACTCTTGTGTCGGTCTTCCGTCGCGATCGCGGTGCGGACCATCACCTTGAGTTGTCTAAATTTCAATCAACACCAGACTGAACAATACTCCACTACCATAGATACGTACTCAGTTATGCTTTATGCCAGTAACATTTTAACAAAAAAGGTACTGACACTACAAGATTACGGACAATGAGGGCTATCGTTTTAGCGCTCACCAGTTGGTGCCACTGTATAGTAAGGTCCTGTCACTTGCTAGTCGCGAAGACAGTGGCGCCAGCTTGTGAGCGCTAAAGTGGTAGGAGGACTATCGCATTTGCACTCATCAAGATGGCGCCACTGTAGAGTAAGGTCCTGTCACTTGCTAGTCGCGAAGACAGTGGCGCCAGCTTGTGAGCGCTAAAGTGGTAGGAGGACTATCGCATTTGCACTCATCAAGATGGCGCCACTGTAGAGTAAGGTCCTGTCAATCGCCAGGGGTGCCAACTGTTAAGTATAAAAACGATAGCCCTCATTGATTTAAAACAATTTGAATAACTTACCCAGCTTAGTGGTAAGATACATCTTAAAGTTTTTATTATAAGGCACCATCTTCTCATTGAACTTGATGACTGTAGCTGAGCCGATGGTGACGATTGCCTTGTCGAGGATGGGAGCGATGGACGGGTCCAGCACCTCGCCTACATTCTGCACGATGACCGGCGTGCCGTCCGTCAGGCAGTTCTCCATTATCTTGAGGTAGTTCGGCTGGCCGAAGTCGACAAGCTAGGAGAAATGAGTACATTTCAATTGCATAGCAATCACAGAACGGTTCGAACGATTCAATGAACTGTGAACCATGTAATCGCGACGTTTGAAACTCATTAGCTTGACGAGAAAAAATCGGTTTTTGTCATGTACCCTCAATTTTATGTTTGTTTGCAGTTGGTTCCACATACGGGATACATTGAAGCGAGAAGTTTGCTAGGTTCCTACCTGTATGTAGTTCTTCTCCTCCAGATGCGAGATCCAGATGAGCTTCTGCCCACATTAGCTAAAGCCCGGTCTGTGAGCACGTAGAATTTTGTCCAATGACCCCAAGCTACCCATCCTTATCGCTCGCGCGTAATTATGTCGCTGTCGCGCTCGCACACTCACTGCGGGCGCGCGTCGCACAGTCGCGACAGCAATATAATTACGCGCGAGCGATATGTGCATGCGTGCTCACAGACCGGGCTTTAGACGGCTAAATTTTGTGTCGTATTGCCTATTTGAGATAAGATCCACAGAGGTGTCATGTCAAGAGTGATGAAAAGCGTAAGGCACCTGTATGTCGTTCTTCTCCTCGAGATACGAGATCCAGATGAGCTTCTGCCCACATTAGCTAGACGGCTAAATTTTGTGTTGGTCCCAAATCTAATCTGCCATAAGGCAGCATTGGCAGAGTCGCCATGTAATGTGGGGACCGGGAGTTGTCAATGAAAGAGTTAATACTGTGCGATGCGAGTATAATTGTGTATCAATTTTCACAGCAACATCAAATACAGGGTGGCCAAAACAGTGAGGTCTAAAAGAAAAATTTAGATTCCTTACATCAAGGTGTACCTAAATCACCCCCATGTATATTATACGATTGTGCTTAGTTTAGGAGACAGAGTTAATTTTGTGATATTTTAAAATTTTATGACCTAGTAGGCTTTAAACATTTTTATCTTTTTTTTGGGTTGACTTTTTTCAGATTTCTTTTTTTCGACAGATTTGTTATGAATTGCAGATGTTTGAAAAAAATAATCACCTTTCTATCTTTGATTCAAGATACAAAAGTTTTGCTAGAAACATTAAAATTATGCTTTTATCAGAACACTATCAAATTTTCAACTTAAAAGTTTAAGTAAAAAAAAGAACTTCCATAGGTCCAAAACCATTTTAGAAACTGCACCTTTTCGTGAACATTCATAATAATACAAAAAAAGATGTACTTAATAGGCCACTATTTCCTGTAATCGGTCCACTAAAGTGGTAAGTCGGAGATTCCGTTACATGTTTTTGACTTTCTTAGAGTGAATTAATATTGGGAATCCTCTAAGTTTACATTACGTAGAACAGATTTAGAGCAGTAACTGGACAGAACATGTTTTTATTCTCAACGAGGAAGCTCTTGCCCTTCATCATACCTGGTGGAAACTGATGATTATGCTGAAGGTGGAAGGGAACTTCAACTACAAAGGAACTATGGCTTCCTACCTCCAAATTCCGGAACACATTGTTATTTTAAGTAAGTTTTGATGAACATAAACCAAATATCCCTCCTTCTTCTTCTCATTGTAGTAGGTATTTCAAGGGTAATAGTAAAATGTAACAACTGCCTCTGTCTTCAAGTGGTAAGAGGTAAGCTTCAGAGGTCCCGGGTTTGATTCCCAGTGGAGGTGAAATTTTCTGCTCGGTTTGGTTGGTGGTAGGGTTTGATCTAAGTTTTTTCTTTTAGACCTCACTGTTTTGGCCACCCTGTATATAGGCTTATTGTATATTAGTGTGAGGGTGGCGCGTACAGATACTACAGTGTCGAGTGTTGCCTGTTTGAGGTAGGGTCCACATAAAGGTGTCATGTCAAGAGTGATGAAAAGCGTAAGGCACCTGTATGTCGTTCTTCTCCCGCGAGATGCGAGATCCAGATGAGCGCCTGCCCACATTAGTTAGACGGCTAAATTATGTATCGAGTGTTGCCTGTTTGAGGTAGGGTCCACATAGAGGTGTCATGTCAAGAGTGATGAAAAGCGTAAGGCACCTGTATGTCGTTCTTCTCCTCGAGATGCGAGATCCAGATGAGCGCCTGCCCACATTAGTTAGACGGCTAAATTATGTATCGAGTGTTGCCTGTTTGAGGTAGGATCCACAGAGGTGTCATGTCAAGAGTGATGAAAAGCGTAAGGCACCTGTATGTCGTTCTTCTCCTCGAGATGCGAGATCCAGATGAGCGCCTGTCCCTGCGGATCGACGGCTAGCGGCCAACGCGTGGCGCGCACCACTATAATGCCGTTCTCCGCGCTGAAGTTGTCGTCTGCAGAAATGAAAGTCATATCACATGACCGTGGATTGGACGGTTTAATTATGACAATGACAAAAGGAAGGACACTATACTCGACGCAGACTCGTGGCAGGCGAAGCCATAAGTAATTTTTGAATCAGAGATGCACACTCGCCAATATTTTATTATTTATTACATGTTATAAACAACGCCTCTGTGTGACGTCACCCATAACCAGTGTAAGTGCGAGAGAAAATGTGATATGCACTGTTTTATTTTTATTATTACACCGCCTGCCATGAGTGTTTCGCCGAGTATAGTGTCAGATATTCCGATCACCAAAGGAAGATTGGTCCTTCGAGCCGGATAAATTGAATGGCAAATGATTTCATGAATATGTGTTACACATCAGCAGAATAAATGGTATAGTCTCACCAGGCAACCCCATGTAATTCCAATCTCTCAGTGTGGCGTCATCAAGGAGGAAGTATTTCATGCTCAAATCCATTGTCACTGGCAAGTTTTCGTTATACACCTGTAAATATTATTGTAAGTTTATAAGCAGCATCATTTAGTTACTCATGATTTATGTGTTTAATCAACTGACGATTCAATTTTCGAAGTTATCAAATATTTTCCACATCTAACTGTACCTCCATGAACCAGTCACTCATCAAGGACTCGCGGTACTCGGAGACGAAGGGCCCGAGGTAGGCCACGAAGCCGGTGGCGATGAGGCAGTCGCCCGGCAGGTTGTCGAACTCCTTGTCCAAGCGCTCCACTGTGAGCTCCCATCGTTCCCTTTCACCTAGGAATAATAGGTAATTTCTTAGTATTTTTCTTCTGAATTTCAGATAGATCATGTTATTGGTCTTATGTATGAAGAAATCACACTCGAGCACGTTTTTCTAAGCCACCTTCACGTCTTAATCCTTCTGCAGGCGCGCGATCATCTCGTTTAGCTCACGCAACAGGGCGTGCCCCTGCCAAGATCTGATGCTTAATGCGAAGAGGTGCCAGCGTCTTTCTAGAAGTTAATCTGACAGTCCGGTTATGAGGCTTACCCGACAGTACGGTATTGATGCCTACCTGACAGTCCGGTGATGACGCTTGCCTAAAAGTCCCGATAAGATGCTTACCTGACATTCCGGTGATGTCGCTTCCCTAATAGTCCAGTGATGACGCTTCCCTAACAGTCCAGTGATGACGCTTCTCTAAGAGTCCAGTGATGACGCTTCTCTAAGAGTCCAGTGATGACGCTTCCCTAACAGTCCAGTGATGACGCTTCCCTAACAGTCTGGTGATGACGCTTACCTGATAGCCCGATGATGATGCTCACCTTAAAGTCCGATTATGACGCTTACCTGCCAGTCCGGTGATGACACTTACCCGACAGTCCCGTGATAAGTGCCTCAGCTCGCTCCAGCTTGAGCTGCAGCTGCCTGGACTTGCGTTCGAGCTCGTCTTTCTGCGCCACCTTCTCGTCATACTCTTTTTGTAGGCGCGCGATCATCTCGCTGAGTTCACGCAACTTGGCTCGAGCCTCTGCCAAGATCTGCTGCTTCATGCGGAGCGATTCTAACGCTTCTTCGAGACGTTCTTTCTTGGGTTTCACGATTCTGTGAGCGTTGGGTGAAATTAACTTTAAATCTTTCTTGTGTTCAGTCAACAGCACAATAAAATCACATAAGACACTACGGTGATAAATGTCAGGCGTTTAGTAAATGCTGGTATCCGAGGGATTTACGTATATTAGGCACTTCTGTGAATGTGGTTCTACATTTAAGTAACTGATATGACAGTAGACTTACTTGTAAACCTTGCCGTACTTCTCAATAGCCCTCACCCATAAGCAAAGCGACTTGGCAGCTGAAGACACCGTGCCCACTGGACAAATAGAAGTTACTTTAAACTAAGGGTGGGTTGCACCATCTTACTTTAACTTTGACAAACGTCAAAAATCTGTCAAACTCCATATAGTTCCAAAATACTGGACTGTCCTGTCGATGACATTGACAGTGGGGCGCCACCGTCAATACCGGATCGCTGGTTCAGATTTTTGCCATGTTGGAAACCATATAGTTGAACGATGGTAGCGCCCCCCTGTCATTGAGTTTGGTGGGACAGTTCAGCGTGGGTCATCTATACGAAAAGCACCGGTTATCGTCATAGTTACCGTTAAAGTTAGGTGGTGCAACTTAGCCTAAGAGTCTCGTTTTGACAGTTTTTAAAAGTACGTCAAATACCCTATTACAACTCGGCCCTATCGGCAGTCAATTTTGCGTTAGTGTGTAGCCACATTGCATAAAACTATTGCCCATATAGAAGCTCTGTTATAAGTGTCTGCATTAGAAGAATTCTAATTTCCTGGTCGAAATCTATCAATAGTCGCAATATTGATGATCACTGTGTTGCACTAAAAACTATTGCAGGTTCAGAAGCGCCAAGCAAGAAACATTGGACATCACAATACACTATAGTCTGGTCTGCGACCACGTAGAATTTTGTCCAATGACCCCAAGCTACCCATCCTTATCGCTCGCGCGTAATTATGTTGCTGTCGCGCTCGCACACTCGCTGTGGGCGCGCGTTGCACTGTCGCGACAGCAATATAATTACGCGCGAGCGATAAGGATGGGTAGCATGGGGTCATTGGACAAAATTCTACGTGCTCACGGACTAGGCTTTACAAGGGTAGATAAACTAGGCGTACCAATCTCTGGGTCGAAGTCGGGCTTAGCGGTGTAGGTGCCGATCTTCTTGAGTGTCTTGTCAGAGATGTTATCCTTGTCGAACTCCCGCAAACGATCCAGGAAGTACTGGTCGCCGAGCTGACGCTTAGCTTCGGCCCAAGTCGGCTCTTTCTACACGATTTAACAGGTTTGTGAGCAAATAGCTAATTAAAAAGGGTTAACAATAGACTAGGCAAAACATTAGTTAGCCCCATAATAGACATAACAAATTATTCAGAACTAGCTTTTGCCCGCGGTTTCACCCGCGTGAAATTTAGTTTGTCACAGAACGTCATAAAAGTCTATATTGTTATTCTGTTATTCTAAACAATTCTACTGTAAAGTTTCATCAAAATCCGTTCAGTTGTTTTTGCGTGAAAGGGTAACAAACATCCAGACATCCAAACGTTCGCATTTAGAATGTTAGTAGGAAGTAGGACTAATGTGGTTAAAGAAACTCACTTGTAACAGGATCAGCACAGCCTCTAGCACCATTTCTACTTTTTGAGGTGGTTTCGCGTAAGACTTCACTTCTGTGATGTCTTTCTTGTTCAGCGCGTCCAGAGCCTATGAAACAAAACAAATGATAAGGGCTGATGTAGGTAAGATAAGATAAGAAAAACTTTATTTGACACAAAAAGAAAAAATAAAAAAACAGAATAAAGGGACTTAAAACTATACACGCATATTTTTGTGCCAATAAGGCGCCCGCTCAGCATTAATCGAGCCACGCGTGCATGCACGCGTGTCCCGACGCTGGTTTTCAGCGGGTGCCTCTAGGTACTTATTTCCTCTATTAGATAGAGAACCGAATGCTGTAATCGTTTCAGCCAGAGGAGGTTCACTGCCAGACAAAAATTTCCAAAACGACCAGTTCTGTGCTGCCTATATTGCTATTCCCAGTCCGTGGTCGCCACTAGAAAACTTTTTTGCTTCCACCGTCATCAGTGCGCTGCGTAATTCATCATTATTGTCATTAGCCTAGGGTCCAGTTTACCTTGACGGCCTCAGTTTAGCATGAACAACTTTCGTCTTCGAATCGTTTGCGTATTCGACAAAATTTGATACTCAACCTTCGAATTAAACGATAATGTGACAATTTTGATTCTCAAAATAAGTTTTGTGCAACTATTTCTCATACTTAGTTCACTTTACGACACATTCACAAGGGCGCAGTTGTAGTTTTCGTACTAAATCTTTTGATGGCGATTCGAATATGCAAACGATTCGAACTCGAAAGTTTTTCGTGCTAGCCGTACAGGCCGCGCAGCGCGGCGTCGGCCAGCTTCTAGCACTGCACCTCCTCCCCCATGGTCTTCTTGCTGCGGTCAGCCACGCTGCGCTACATTATAAGCTCTAACGCTAGGAGTCCAGGGTCCAGTTTACCTTGACGGCCTCCTCGAGCGCGCGGCGTCGGCCAGCTTCTTGCACTGCACCTCCTCCTCCATGGTCTTCTTGCTGCGAGCTGCTACACTGCGCTACATTATAAGCTCTAATGCTAGGAGCCTAGGGTCCAGTTTACCTTGACGGCCTCCTAGAGCGCGGGCATGGCGGAGGCCAGCTTCTTGCACTGCACCTCTTTCATGGTCTTCTTGCTGCGGGCAGCCACGCTGCGCTACATTATAAGCTCTAATGCAAGGAGTCCAGGGTCCAGTTTACCTTGACGGCCTCCTCGAGCGCGGGCATGGCGGAGGCGATGTCACGCAGCGCAAATCAGCCAGTTTCTTACACTGCACCTCTTTCATGGTCTTCTTGCTGCGGGCAGCCACGCTGCGCTACATAATAAGCTCTAATGCTAAGAGTCCAGGGTCCAGTTTACCTTGACAGCCTCCTCGAGCGCGTGCATGGCGGAGGCGATGTCACGCAGCGCAACATCAGCCAGTTTCTTGCACTGGACTTCTTCCTCAATATTCTTCTTGCTGCGGGCCGCCACGCTTCGCTGCATCGTCAGCTCTAATGCTAGGAGTCCAGGGTCCAGTTTACCTTGACGGCCTCCTCGAGCGCAGGCATGGCGGAGGCGAGGTCGCGCAGCGCGGCGTCGGCCAGTTTCTTGCACTGCACTCCTCCATGGTCTTCTTGCTGCGGTCAGCTACGCTGCGCTACATTATAAGCTCTAATGCTAGGAGTCCAGGGTCCAGTTTACCTTGACGGCCTCCTCGAGCGCGGGCATGGCGGAGGCCAGGTCGCGTAGCGCGGCGTCGGCCAGTTTCTTGCACTGCACTTCTTCTTCCATGGTCTTCTTGCTGCGGGCTGCTACGCTTCGCTGCTGCTCGTCGGCGTTGCGTTGCTGTGCGTTGATCACGCCCATGTATTCTATGCACTGCTCCGTGTAATCTGCCACTTGGACCTGAGATGTGAGGGTTTAAAATATGAGAGAGATGAGACAAAAATGGATACAGAGATGTTTTAAGGCTTCCACAGACCAACCGCAGGTCAGAAGCAGTGCAGGTCAGTTGCAGCGCGACTGAGGCACACTGAAAGCAGCGCAGTTTCAAAGCAGTTGCAACGCGGGCGGTTGTCAAAAATTTAAATATTCGAAAACCGCTTTCAACGCTCTGCTACCGCCTTGCGTCCAGAGTGTCATGCTAATATGGCCGCCATAGTAATACAACAGCGCGGGCCCGCGCTCGCGCCGCTTCTGTCCCGCTCCCGCGCCGCCTCGTTTGTCGTTCGGCAGTTGCAGTGCGGCGCGGTTGGAGCGCGGGCCTGTGTTCAAAGGTGTGACACACTTCAAAGAGTTTCTTGTATTACAACTTGCGCGGGCCCGCATTCAAACTGCGCTGCTACTGCCCCGCGTTTGGTCTGTGGAAGCCTTAAGGCCTCGCTCTAACGCGCCACAGATCGCGACCACACCGGCGGCTGTCGTAGACATTTGAGTCACGAGTAGCCGCCATAGGTGGCATATCATGGATTCTGAGCTGCAAGTGGAAATCACTTGCTACATGTGTGCAGATATTTCATATTTAACGTCATGTAAACTGTTTGTACTCAATCACCAGTGTAAAGAAAATTAACAAGAAAAAACATTAAAGTACGGCCAACTAGAAGCGATACAAAAGGTCGATACGACTGTCGAGTTGACAATATTTCTGTCTCTTCCCATCTTGTGTATTTGTCGTAATGTCTCGTTCTCCCGCCAAAATATGTCAAAGTCAGGCGGGTTCACCCATGACATTGGGTTTGTTTACATTTGGTATCGCTTCTCGCTGGCCGTACTTTAGTGAGTAAAGGGAGAATATGCAGACCTTCTCGCAATATTTTCTAACCACTTAACCCATCTAGGGTCAATTTAGATCACCACGCACCTGGGCCACGGCAAGCTCCTCCGACATCTGACCAACGAGCTTGGTAGTCTCCTCCACCTTGCCGAGCCCATTGCGCAGCTTATTGGCCTGCAGCGCCACCTCGTATCTCTTCATCTTCAACATTCTAGGAAAACAATTATAAATGCTACTGACGTGAATGTGGAAGAGATTGCTTCTTGGCGAGAGACAGCCCTTATAAAGGAGGGACAACTTGATGCAGCATTTTTGAACCTATAGAACTACTGTGGATGTTGTAGAACAGTGGTTCTTAACCGGTGGTCCGCGGACCACTGGTGGTCCCTGGAGACATTTTAAGTGGTCCACGAAGTGCACTTGCACACCTTGGTTAAAACCACTTTTCACTGATTTTTGCAGTCAAACTGGTTTTGACCGATTATGAGGTGGTCCCTGACAAGACAGAAATTTGGTAAAATGGTCCCTTAAAGGTTAAGAACCACTGTTGTAGAAGGAAACTTAGGAACAAATATACGAACATCAGGCCAGAGTACAGGATGTACCTAAGTCAAATCGTCTGGTTGCCTCTGGTAAAACAAAAAATGTTCCTAGAGAAATGAGACTAGATCTGACGATGATTATGAAATACAGGGGGCGTAGTGTGAGTTTACGTCAAACGCATTCGATGTCGATTGCATAAAAAAGTGACATTAAATGTAGCCCCTAGCGGAAATTTTTAAGAATTAAAATCAGAGTAAATACAAATGAGTAGGTGGATTTACTGTGACTTTGAGTCGGCTCGACGTCGTCACTGAGTCTCACCTGATTTATCTACCTACTTATTTGTTTGCTCGCGTCCGTACTTTACATGCATGGCTGCGGTGACATTTGAACTGTACTGACCTACCCACCTTGCTTTTCTAATAACACATACGTCTTCTGAATTACAATCTAGGTCTAAGCAAAACAATTTTGTTAAAATATTTTTTTTAAATTGTAATTTGTCATGTGTTTTATAAAATAAAATAAATAAATTCAGCGCACCTCACCACTAATCCACGCTAAATTTTGTCAGTGTGTGCGTGCGCGCCGCATACGTATTGGCGCGCTTACATACAAACCGCGCTCGGGCGTTTCTATGTAGATGACCTACTCATTTGTATTTACTCTGCTAAAATCTTCAAATATTTTTAACGCGCTCGCTAGTAACGAGGTTTGATATAAACTCACACTAAGCCCTCAGAACATGCAATAGCTCTAAAGTGACATTAAATGTATGACGGATTGTACAGCGCCCCTAGCGGAAACTTTGAAGAACTAAAATCTATATTTTTAACGCGCTCGCTACGGGACTATTCCCACCTCTCGTTTCCACCACAGCAACTCCTGTGTAGCCAGGATCTACAGCTTGACCGCCACAAAAACCCAACCAGTGAAGGTCAAGTTTGTCCCGGGGGAAAGTTAAACTGTCATTGGACCCGCAACGAAATTAATCAGAAGAACATAGGAGGAGTTCGAAATTAAGGTTCGACTTCCCTCCATTGCAAAGCGGATGACAGGTGACAAACAAAGGTTTAACTTTTAAGAAAAGATTATGCACCACGGACAATAAATTAAATTAAGGGGGCCTATCTTATGAGCAATTAGCAACTACCTGCCAATAATATCAAGTACTAAAATCTTCAAATATTTTTAACGCGCTCGCTAGTAACGACGTTTGATATAAACTCACACTAAGCCCTCAGAACATGCAATAATGAAGTTTAATTGGTAACTCTATATGTGTTATAGAATGCTGTTTGTTTCCCTAACAATAAAATAAAATAAATAAATAAATAAATAGCTCAAAAGCCAATCACTCACTCCTTATACCCCGACACCAGCTCTAGATAGTTAGTGGGCGTGACGTAGTTGGTGCGGCGCATCTCCTGCCACATCTTGACGGAGTACTTGCCCACGGACGAGTGGATGAGAGACATGATGGATGCTACCGACGCCCGGAGGATATCCTCGCGACTTTCTATTAGAGATTCTTTTCTGCGAATCTGTGGGAAACAAAGAAGTTTCAGTGTATCACTTGGAGGTGATGATCCTGTACACGCTCCTATAGGTAAAAACGATGACATATTTTTTGATCCTTCGAGCCGGATTTGGATTTGATACTATCTCAATAGCATTCTACCTATATGACACCGATACTTATCTATACTAATAATATTATAAAAAGGTAAAGTTAGTGTGTTTGTATACATATTTGTTAAATTGAGAATGTTACTAGGTATGCAAAATCACTTGAAACCTATGTTACAGTTAAGCTTTTACATATACAAATACATTTGTTTTTATTTCATTCAAAAATACCAAGTAGTTATGATTTTATAGGCATTCAAAGTTCGCTTAAATATCGAGACCCGCCGACGGTCACGTGACCCCGCGTGACGTACATTCACAGTGGCCGCTCACTAGAAAACGGATATAAACATACTTAAATACATTTTTTTTTTGTAAATACATACTTATTATCATAGCTGGGCATTAACTCGTTAATCCGTTAATCGTTAATTAACGAAGTTAACATTTCTATTAACGGATTAACTTTTAAGTTAACTTTAAAAATTGTTAACGGACTCGTTAACTTCCGTTAAATTATCTTAAGTCCGTTAATCGTTAATTCAGTACCTACTATTTATCAAAAATTTACAGCAGCCACGCTGAAAAACACTAGAATAACGCGTTCTGACAAGTACGTTCGGGCTTCCAGAACTTCCAGAACCCAAAACAACAGTTTTTGTAACCAGAACGAAACGATATAAAAATTATAAAAATGCTATTTTTTTATTTATTTACAAGCTTTATATTGACTTGTTAGTATGTGTGGGACAAATCTTGCAACTGAATTTAAGACCAGTTCTCAACCGATTGAGCTGAAAGGACATTGTCAGAAACCGCC